TTTAAAGAGTTTTCCTACTCACAACATCGGTCATTATTAAACAGTAATGTTTATGCAAATTGTAGTACAAAAGCCTTTTCAGTATCCCAAAATGTTACCCTGCAAACTCATTAGCTTTCAGCCACTGTGTTCAGCAAAAAGTACAAGACAAGAAATATGCCAAATGCAGTGCTACAAGCTGAGGGCAAATCCAGGGGCTAGGACTATATGGTCAGGTTCAGGAAGGAGCCTCTAACTTACTGGTAAAGAATGAGGGGAGAGTCAGTGTTTCTGAGGAAAAGACTATTTGTCCAAATAGCAAAGGGGCTTATTTTTATCCTCGTTCTTACCAGACATGCATTCTCTAGATGTAAATGTTTAAGCTGGACAGATAAGGATCTGATATAGCTCATGCAGCCTCTGTGTGCCTCTGTCTTATGAGTGTAACAAAGCAGACCTTTCTGTGCAAGTCCCTAAATTCCCTAGATATTCAAATGGAGAAAATTAAATGGATTTAAGGCCATCACAAAAGGTCGTGTACACCTAACTCATAGTCTTAGATGAGTAAGAACTCCCTCTGGAGGTCTTCACGGTCACCTACCACTTTCTGCTGACAACAAAGTGAGTTTAAGCACTTCAAAAAGCCTAATCCTCAGAGATTTAAAATACGGCCTTGTTTGATGCAAAATTTGGGTGAACTGCACCCAACCAAGTACCTCAATATATATATTACAGTGCCTAGGTGGAGATAAAAAGAACCAGCTACAGATCCTAACCAAGAAGGTAAAGGAAGAAATTTGGATAAAACCTTTCTTTGCTGATTGATTTCAAAACAGTTTAAAAAGTTCAGAATTTCACGCTGTGGAAGCCCAGAGAATGTTGGCACTGTATCAGGGAAACATATTAAGAACCATCAAAGCAGTAATAATAATAATAGTAATAGAAATAGTAACTTTCACATACTTTTCTGTGTTTTGTGTTAAAAACACAAAACAGACACGTTGTGTCATGGGAAACCTAGGAGTGGTTGGGATGACACAGAGCACTGGAAGCCCAACTGGACTAAGCATTGATCAGGCTGTGTCTCCTCAGCACGTCCTTTCCAGAACTGCACAGACCGCCATACCCACCCAGAGTGCTCTCCATACCTTCAGCCTGCTGCTTTGGGCTTTAATGCAGAGTCACTACATTGTTGACTGTTGCTGCGTTCAGAAAATATTTATAGTAGCTTTGTAAGGGCTTTCTTTTGTTTATGCTCTTGCCACTTGAAGAATACCCATGCATTTTTCTGCTTTGCTGCTCCTTCATCCTTTTTTTTCAAACCTTCTCTGTAAAGATCTTCTCTGTCCTCCTGTTCCTGTTTAATGCTACATCTGAGCATTTAGCTACATTTTGAGATACATTTTTCATAAAAGACTGTCCGAAGCAAGGGCCAGCTCACACTGTGCTGTTTGCACAGAAAGCGAGGAGGAAGAGCAAGTTAATTACTTTGGAGCAGTCGTGCTTCCCACTACCACAGCCCCTGCATGAGGTCCTGACGCAGCTGCCAAAGAAGCCTGCGAGAGGCAGGAGCTTGCTGACAAGTCCCCTGGTGCTGCTGTGAGCAACGCCACTGAGCAGCTCGCAGCAAATGAACAACTCACAAAGAGCGGCGGGACACCGGTGATGTAACCCTTGCTAAAAGACAGCAAGAAATATCAGTGACCCCTGAGAAGCACAAAAGCCTTCCTGCCCCATTCTCCTCTGCTGAACAAATGTGTGCCCAATCCTTGTTGTGCTGTTCGCCTCCCTATGAGAGGCACTTTGGGAAAAGTGGGAAAAAAAAAAAAAAAAAAAAAGGATTCTCTCTCATCACCTAAGTGCTGGCATCTTTTTGTGGCTTCACAGGCTAGGATGATGTGTCCTAACCTACACTGTGATAAATACCGAGCAGACCTGCATCTGGCTTCTGAGTTTCTCCCAGCACCAAGGATTACCAGTGGCCATGCTGGCTGCACTAGGGTAAGCACATTCATCAGCAGGAAGCACTCAGGAATCTCCTCATTCCTCAGTGGATTAGGGTTTGAACTGTAATCACCGGAGTGAGACAAGTCCAGGGGATCACGGTTTGTTTTCTTTAGAAAGCACTGATTTTTTGGCTGCTGCTAGTGACTGCATGCCTGGCTTAGCAGCCACTTCGGTTCTGTTGCATTTGTCTTCTCTTCCTTTCTTCCTGCTTGACCTCAGGGGAAAATTCTTGCTGTTTGTCCCAGCTTGCAATTACACTGCTGGAATAATTGAGCGGTAATGAAAAGAAGCATTTCTCTCGCCTTTTTTTTTCATTTTGGGTTGCAAACATTTTGCTTTACTGCTTTTGCTTCTCCTGTCTCCTCAGACATTTGTGCCTGGGCCCCTGTCTGTATGACAAATTGATATTGAGAAGTTTAATCTACCATCTGTGTCTGTTTATAGCCGGTGACATCCCAGACACAGGACTTGCACCAAAGAGCCCTCTAGTCAGGGTATACAAATAAGAAAGGGTATGGCAAACTCTCAATATTTTGTTAATATGGTTTCAGCAGGATTTTTCACCTCTATAATCTAATAATTGCTAGTAGTGTGGTAGGTGTCTACAATATTTCTTTCCTTACAGTTTTAACAGGTTTCGTGTGTTATTGCTCCAACAGTTCATGCAGTCAGTAAGCCACTGCCACACGCACCCCTTTCTGCAGAGGTTGCCAGCTGAGCTGAGCCAGTGCTCTGCTTTCAGATTAGGGATATTGGGGACCAAATACTCAATTTTGACCCTGAGCAGCCAAGCCTAAAAACAAACCAACCAAAAAGAAAGAAACACCTGACTTCCTTTTTCATTGCTGAAATATGGAAAGGGAATTTTTGCCTCCTGAAGGTTATAAGTTGCCCCCTTAATTAATTTTCAGAGAGCATTTCATTAATAATAGAAAGGAATTTATTGAGTAAGCAACAGCAAGCAAAACAGCACTGGGTGGCCGGGGAGTCTCAGCTCCGCCAATGGCGCGCACCTCACCCCCACCAGGGTCCCTTTTTATATTTTGGTAATTCCGGGATTACGCAGCACATCCTGGTATATTCTGCAACTGCGTGCACTGTTGCTAGGGGGTCGTCTCTGTCCCTCTGGTGGTCGTGAAGATGAAGGCCGTAGTCTTCCTCAGCATTGTGGTTCAACTTCTTTTTTTATTTGGTCATGTTGGCCCAGAGTGAGACAGGAAGGCAGGATGTTGATACACTAGTTTAGCAACTTATCAGGAGATGGTTACATGAGCTTTGCAGCAGGGTCTTTGAACAAAAGAGGCAACTGAGATGCAGAAGGAGAGAAGGGGAGGGGGTTCTCTTTTTTGTTACATTAAGCAAAAGAATTTTCATAGTGTCTAGCCAAGCATTATACAGCTCCTTACTTCAGCAGGGAGTTTTCACAACTCCCGTTCCTCAAACAGAACTCCTTGTTTTTATAATACAAAAGACAATGAACGAACATTTATTGTGTATTACACTGAAAGCCAAACCCATCTCTTTTGTATGCCAGTGAACTCGGGGAGAAATCTGGTTAGTTCTCTGGGAATGATTTTCCCTTTCAGGTTTGTATTTTATTTACTTATTCATGTGCATTGTTCCCTCCACGCTGGCTTTTTTTCATGGCATCCCAAGTTGCTCTTCCCCTGGAACCACGTAGACTGTGTGAAAGAAAGCACATCTCACAGAAGTGCCTCCGCAGCACATCACAAACTGCACAGCTCCCAAAGAGCAATTTAAAATGAAGAACAACCTTTTCCAACATCCTTTTCAGAGCTGCACGTGGACATTAGCCAGACACAAGACTGAGCTGCGGAGGGTGCATTAAACTCCCCATCTGCTCTTCACACTGCTCGCCGCTGATTTATAACCCACAGTAAAGTCATTTGGCCAAAAATAAATAAATAAAAAAATCCGACAAGTGCACCAGAAGCCAGCTGAGCCTTCCCTCTGACGGTGTCCCCTGCAAGGAACAGGTCCCAGCCAGGTAGCATTTTCCCAATATTTGATTCAAAGTATATGATATCTGCAGGTAAGTCATTCTCCAAACAAACTAGGAAAGGCAGATTTTGTTCTCGTTTACATTACTTTATAGGCGTTACAGCAGTTGGTCTTGGCATGACTATTTGTTTACCCTTGTGTAAACGATGCCTCAGTATCCTTGAGGGCCTCAGCAGCTGGCCTGAGAACTCGGAAGAGTTTTTGGAGAGACACCTGCAACTTTTCACCTCCTGGGGCAAAAAAAAAGACTGCTGTCCTACCTCAGCCTTTTGCGGGGCCCAGCTCCTGGCTGTGATGCTGTGACCTGTCCCTGTAGCATCCTGGTGGGGTGGCTGCTTTGGGAAAGGGCCAGCCCCATGAGCCAAGGGGTGATGCCTTTCAAACACCAACAGGCTCAGTTATGGGTCTGATGAGGGGTGATGGGCTTGCACAATGCAAGTAGCAGTCTGGGAAGAAGGGGCTCAGAGGAGACCTTATTGCTCTCTATAACTACCTGAAAGGAAGGTGTGGGGAGCTGGGGGTTGGCCTCTTCTCACAGGTAACCAGTGATAGGACCAGAGGGAATGGCCTCAAGTTGCACTGGAGAGGTTCAGGTTGGAAATGAGGAGATATTTCTGCTCAGAAAGAGCAGTCAGGCACTGGGATGGGTTGCCCAGGGAGGTGGTGGAGTCACCGTCCCTGGGGGTGTTCAAGGAGAGGTTGGACGTGGTGCTTGGGGACATGGCTTAGTGGGTGACATTGGTGGGAGGGGGGTGGTTGGACCAGATGGTCTCGGAGGTCTTGTCCAACCTTAATGCTTCTATGGTTCAACGACATCCACCCCAGCACCTCGCAGGCCTTTCACCCCCTCCACCAGCCCGAACACCTCACCCAGCCCCCCTCCAGCCCTCTCCCCGCCCGGGGGCTGGGGTCCGGCGGCCGCCCGCGGGCAGGGGACGGGCGAGGGGCGGGCCGGGGGCGGCGCTGCCGCGGCGGCCGTGCGGGACGGCGGCGGGAGCCGGGAGCCGGGAGCCGGGCACAGGGGAGCGGAGCCGGAGCCGGGAGCGGTGAGCGGGGGGCGCGGGCTGGGGGGGCTCGGAGCCGCGGCGTTGGGGCTTGCCCTCTCCCTGGGCTCGTGTTGTGAGGTTTCTTCTTTTTTTTTTTTTTTTCCCTTTAATTAATCATTATTTTAAGGGAGGTCGGTACTTCATTATTATTATTATGTTTATTATTATTATTATTTATCTCCCATCCTTCCTAAAGCCCGCTGTGATTTATTGGGTCTGGCAGGAGCCGGTCCACCACAAAGTGTCTCGTACCCAGTGTCGGTGGTCGTGGGGACAGTGGGGTGCTTGGCCCCTCGTGTGCCACAATCAGGGCGTTGGGTTCGCACACCCATTTGTCCTAGGGCCTGCCTTTGGTCGCTCCCCAAGGCATTTTGGCAAGAACTTGGTTTTGCCCTCGTTGACCCCATGGGCTGTCAGAGTGCTCCCGTAGCAGACTTTCTGGTTTGGGAGAAATTGCTTTTGCCGGGGACAGAGAGAGCAGGAGGCTCCCTGGAGGAACGTGGGGCCGTGGCTGTGCTGCTCCTGGCAGGAGGGATGCTGAGGGAAGCGAGGCACAGGTCGGTTTCTGTTGTGGTCTTTCGGCGAGATGCTGCAGGCTTTGATGGTGCAGAGCATGGGGTCATCGCTGTGCAAGCACGTTTTCGGCTCTCTGGGCAAAAGCAGAGATTGCCACGCGTGTGCTCTTTCACATTGTTTGCGGGAAGATGACGGCAAAGGAATTGCTCCCTCTGCAAATAAATTCTAAAACGCCTGTCCTGTGTATGTGCCGGGAGAGGAATGGAGCTTAGACAGCACAACGTGTTAAAACAAAGCAGGATGGATGCACAGAAATGTGTCCTTCCCAACCACCTGGTGCCTAGCTAAGAGCTCCTGGCTGTTGCAGCATCATCTCTGTAGGGGTAAGGAAGTTTGGGACAGAAAGCAAGCAAAGCAAACTCTTCCTATCTTGTGTATGCTAAATAGTAGTCTGAGGGAGATTATGAACACAGTGGTAAAAGGCTGAGCATTTGCCAGATTTCTTGACATGTATATAAGCAAAGAAAATTAGGAATGCATAGTAAGTATTATTAAATTTAATTTGGAGGTAATTGTAGCAGAATGGTACAAAGCTGAACAGAAGAAATGTGTAAAACCTGGAGATACAGGAGGTGCATAGTGCTGGCAGCTTTATTCTGAGAAGGGATCTGGCTGGAGGGTCATGTCTGTTCCCTTACAGTCTTGCCTTTTGCAGTCATTTTGACCCCACTCTGAGTTTTCTGAGCCTGAACAGACTGAGACAAAGGATGACCTGAAAGCCCTGGTGTCCTTCTCTCTGCCATAATGCCTACAAAGGCTTGTCCCCGTCAGGGATGGACGCTGCTGCTTGTAGCTGGGTACGGGCTGCCTTCCTTCCCCACCTTTCCCTCAGACTTTGGCCATGCACATCACCCAAGGTGAAGGAAGAAGCAGCATGTCATGCCCGCCTCCTTCATGTTTCCCAGGCTTTCCTCTGCCTGCTCTGGCGTGCAGGCTTGCCTGCCTGCAGCCTGCTGCTTGCTGTGCATCGCTGGCAGCCGCAGAGATGCTGTAGGACCTTGAGCTGGTGGGGAAGGGGTCCGGGGCTGTTTTAGCACCCAAATCTGCTCCAGTACCATCACCAAGTTGGTGAGTGCACGTGTGTGGATATATTTGGCTTAGGAAGTTATTGCCTTTTGCATTTCGTTAACCTTTTCAGACGTAACAGGCTGACCCGGGTAGCTTGTGTCTGCCAAATGTCTTGGTTCGTAATTGGGTCTTAGTGGTGCAGTGCAAGTTATAAATTGTATTCTGCAAATTCCCCATCAAAGGCAGGAAGCAGCGCAGTTTTCCTCCTGGCGCCCCGTCTACGTAGAAGCAGAAGAGGAATTAGCTCAACCACAGAGCACATCGAGAAGTTACTGAAAAATACGATGTTTCTGATAGGTTTTGAGACTTGGAATTTAAATATTAAAAAGTCGTGACATTTACATCTCTCCCTGTAAAAATCTCTTGCAAGCACTCCTCCCCTTGTGTCTTTGCGACTGCAGTTGCCTCGTTTTCCTGGTTGGCACGGAGGAAATCCTGTTACGGCTCGGTCCATCCACAGCGCTGCTGCAAAAAGCCACCTCCGTGTCTGCCGCTTTGGCTGCGTCTCCCCTTCTGCCCAGTCCTGGTTTTGCCCCATCTCCACCACATTGGACATGCCAGCTGCAGGCTTCACTTTCAAGCATCCTGGCTAGTCCCCCCGTACATGGCATCTCACCTCTCCTCCTTTTCAGGACAAAACCCCTGGGATTTGGTCAGCCCATGCTCTCAGCATCCACCTCCGTCAACCTAGTATCTCTGTATTTCCCTGAGCTTTGCCTTTTGCTTGTCTGTAGCTTCATATGGGTGCCTTGTCCACCATTTCATTAATTTCCTTGGTATGTCCCAACACGTTTGCTTTTGCTGTGATGCCTTCAGCAGCTGCCTGGTGAGATGCTGAGACAAGCCCTCACCTGCACTGCCGCACATCCCAGTCACTGGGATTAGTCTGGGGCTGGATGTGAGCACAACAGTGTCCTCTAAGGCCAGGACACTTGAGAGGCAGTGTTGCACAGATAACTCTATCTACCACCAGCAGAAGCTGCCCTTCTGTGGTCTGTGATTAGTGCTAGCTATCTTTGCTTGCTCTTTCTGACATTTCAGGTGCAACCCTGCCCCCTTATGCTTACACATCACAGCGTGGTTCACAGCAGCGTTGTGTGCTTGTGTAAGTTACTGCACACCCCTGTGCAAGCAGTGAAAATACATGCATGTGAAGCACACACCTGTAGATATGGTAATGCCAGAGTCTCCTTGTCAAGGGAGGCAATGCAGCCTGCGCTGGTAGAATAAGAATGGAAATATTTTTGGTTATACGCAGAGAATCAAAAGGAAAGGTTCACCCCTTACGCCTCTTGGTAAAGCAGGTACCTGAGCTGGAAAGCAGAGTTACAGCAACCAGAGGTACTGAGATAGTACATCTGTGCCTGAAATTCACCTGGCATTTGAGTTCTCAGCCTCAGTACATTGTTCATACTGTATCTTTTTTGGAGGAGAAAAATTTCTGAAATAAAATGATGCATTAACAAAGGTTTCTGGTGAATACACTGTACAGTTCCTTTCCTAGCTTTATATTGTGCCAGGATTTCCAAGGAGATTTAAACGAAGTCTGCTTGACATTTTAGGTCTTGATGTAGACCATGTACTCTGTTTTTATAAAATATATGGAAGACAGGGTGTAACCTGAATTTTACTGTAAAAACGTGTTCTCTTTTACTCTGGATTCCACTTCCTGCATCATAACGTCATTAGTTAAGGGCTAATAATCCCATTCTCTAGCTCAGTAGCCACTTCGTGTTCATCAGAGCCCCTTGGAGAAGCCTGCAGGGAAGGCTCCTAAGACATGCTGGAATGATGTGACCGCAGGGGTAAACGTGGCCCCTGTGGAGCACCAGGGATGGGGGCTCCCAGCACCTCCTCCGGCATCAGGCAGGATGCTGTGCTGCAGCACCGCTGGGGTTAATAGAGACCTGAGAACTTCCAGATTTACCCACATTTAGCCCTTAGACTGTATTCCTGGTAGGTGAAGGGGATGGTGCTTGATCTTCCTGATTTTTTTTTCTCCCTCTGTTTTCCCTGGAGGAATGCAAACCAGCGGATCTGAGCCCTGCAAGTTGTCAGCTTCACAGGTGAGCGCAATGGAGAATGAAAGCAAGCCCTGATAATCATGACTGCTTGCCCCGGGGCTTGATATTTTATCTGGCAGGTTTTACTCTGAGTAAACGATGCGTAGGAGCTGGAACACTGCCCCAGGAGAAGTCCACAGAGGTTCAGGGAGAGCCAGCTGCCCTCCGGCCCTTTGGCCAGAGGCGTGGAGCCCAGTACCCGTTCCCTTGCATCCTTGCATCGGATACAAAAGGTGGTGATCAGGAGCTGCTGTTAAGAATCAGGCACAAGCTAGCAAAGCTTAATTAATTTCTGTTTGCTCTGAGGTAATTGCATCCACGCACACATGCTGGGTGGCTTCTTGTCTAGAGAGGCGCATCAGTGCTGGTGGGATCCTCCGCAGAACAGAGGATCTGCAAGAAGGGGCATCGGGAACAGGGTAATGCAGCAATGAAAGGGAAGAAAAGCCAGGAGCAGCTGCAATATTTTCACGTACTCCTTCTACTGAGGGAAGTGTGCTTTAAATGAAAATTGTGGGTTTGTCTTCCTTCGTTTTGCAATGTAAAAACGTGCAGTCATCCCACCCCACACTAAATTTTCAAATGAAAGTTTTGAATTTGTGTTTGTAAGAGATTGAACAAGAAGTCACTCCATAAATTCAGAAATTAGGGAATCCCAATCCCATCATTTTCTCTCTCTGCACGGTCTCCACTTGCCAGCTTGCTGCCTCCACAGGTACCCATGGAGGGGTGTGTTGCTTTGGCAGTGACATCTGGGTCCCTGTGTTTGCCTGCAGAAGTCAATTAGAGAGATCTAAAGCCATCAGGGGGAACCAAATGGCTGTTTGAACCTTAGTGTTTCCTCTTCCTGATCATCTGTTGTCACTAAACCTTAGGAGCTCAAATGCCTTTGAGGTTTCTGCTTGGGGTTGAATTTGGCTGAAGGTGACTAACAGGGACAAAAGTTGCTCAGAGTGGGATGGAAGGGAATAAGCTGGGACTGGGAACTGAGACATGAAATATGAGTACTTGCTGTGGTAAAACAGACTGAGAATGGGATTTTGGATTTCTTTTTTATTTTTTTCCAGTTATCTCATTTTTCTTCCCACAGGAAGTTTTCAACAAAAGTGGGAAATACATATTTTCAGCAAACTAACACAGGCAGGAGACTGATTTCCCCAATGACTGTGTGTCCACTGGGTGAGATTCAGACTCACACTCCCATGGGAGGCAGAAACACGGAGGGCCCCATCTCCCAGATGTACAGTGATGAGACTCCTTGCCCCATTCACATCCTGAGCGGCATGGGGAACAGCTAGATCCCTGCTCCCTGTGTGTCTTGTTAGCAGTGGGAGAGGCAGATGTGGTCAGGCCAAGTCCTGCTGTATCAGAACGTGGTCAGCATGGGCCTCAACTGGGGGCTACTGCTGTAACTGAGACCCTCAAAAGTAGCTGGGAAGGGTGTTAGACTGCTGCAAGAAGGATGAAGGACTACATAAACCAAAGGAGATCCTGTAGTTTCAGTTCTTGGTCTTCTGGTCCAAATATTTCTGTGTTCTTCCGAGGTAATTAAAAGCTCAGACCTCGCTGTCTCACTGTGTATGCTATCCATTTGAATATGAATACGGACATTTAAAAAGCCTTGAGGATGCATTGTGTTTCACGCTGCATCTCTGGCGTGTTTAATCAGCTCAAGATTTCCCAGGCTCCATTCCCTTCCTCTTGCTGGGGACTGGGGCATTGTGCTGCATGAAGGGCTGGATGGGCAAGAGCAGTGCTCGGTGCATGTCGGGAGAGATGTGCTAAAGAAGATCCTGCAGAGACAAAGGAGAGCTGGAAAAGAAGCAAAATCATTTATGTTTGTCATGTTCCAAGATAAAGTCTCTGCTGCAGAGGTTTGAGCCTCCTTCCCCAAGACATCCATTCTGAAAGAAACAAAGGGAAGGGAAAGGATCTCTGCTATGAGCAGATGAAATTGCAGGGCATGGGATTGAGCTCTTTATTACATGAGGCATATTTGCCCGAGAAAAGGTTTACGGGGGCTACAAACCGCTCTCCATGGCAGTAGCAGCACCTGGTGGAGCCAACATGCTCCTAAGCAGGTTCTGGGGTGCACTGCCCTCATGTCCAGGCACCAGCTGGGTCTATCCCTGGGGAAGCTGACCTGAGGGTTTACCTGCAGCCACACACCTCTCCTCCCAGGCTGGGAGGTGGTCAGGAAGCTGTCTGCCTCTCCTTGGGTGGAACATCATAACACAGTCAATGTTATCAAGTGCAATGTTATCAAAACATTTGCATTTCAACGATGCTGACTTTTAACAGCTGCACTAGATAATTTTCTTTATTGAACTTGGACTGGCTTAAACCATAAGTGATTCAGTGATGGAAGGGATGAAAGCAACATAACAATGCATTAACATTCATCCCCAGAGATCTGCTTCTCTAATGCAGTTCAAACCAAATGTGCTGAAAGGGTAGCGCTTTGAGACAGATAATGACTGTGCGAGTGTCTTTTCTTTCCTGGAGAAGAGGATCGTCTTGAAAGTGGCCATACTTTTGCCTTAATCTGTGTTGTCTGGGATTGTTTCTTCAAACATAAAATCAATTTAGTTTGTTTTATTAAAGACAGTTCAGGGGCCAGGTTTTAATTTTAAGTATTGAGTGAATTTAGCATGCAAAAATCTGCTATCTGTGCTTGTGCACATACAATATTCAGATGGTGTGTTTCAGGTAAGTGAATTTAAACTGCAGTTTGTCTGAAATAAAGAGTATAAATAAATAATGGTGTGTAATCCAGAAAGACCTGATTCCTGGCAGAAGCCTTTAGGTGATGACGTGAAGTGAACTGGAATGGAGATGTGCAGCTTCAGCGCTTAAAGCAGCACCAGGTGACAGCAGGCTGTCCTGGTGCAGGAGTACTTTGCAAAAGAAGAGGGGCAGGGTGTTATCCAGACATGTCTGTAAAGAGGAGATCAAGAGAGAAGCATGTTTTTTTATTATACATGCAGTGCTGTAGCTGGACAGCAGAAGGATGTGGCTACCAGAAATGAAAAACATGCCAGGACTCCATTCTCCTTGTTTTGCCCTGAAATTTCTGCCACCGTTCATCCCTGTTTGTTTGTTTGTTTGTTTGTTTGTTTGTTTGTTTTATGTGTGTGTGTGTGGGGGGGAGGTAATTAATATATTTATTACTAAACTCTTCAGCTTTGATTGCTTTTTTATAGGCACTCTTCTCAGCATGCAGTCCCTTTAGATTTGGGCGTGATAACCATCCACATCCGGCACATTGGACATTTGTCCTACATCCCTATATCATCCCGCTTGTAAGTATTTTATTCCTTGTCATTGTTTTCTTATACTTTTTAGAAGCAGACTCATCTGGCAGTGACTGAAGGGGTAGAAGCTCTGGGTCTGGTCCCAAGTCATGATGTCTTTGCTTTACATTGATATAAATAACTGCATAGGGTGCAGATCCATGGGAAATGTAAATGATAAAGGCATTTGAGCCTATTTGAATGAATTAAGTATCCTTATGTCTCCAAGAGTTTCCTTTTCCCAGCCCCACACAAAACCCCAAACAAAATATAACTTGATTTTAACCTGCAACCAAGCCATCTGGGCTCTTGTCTTCTTAAATTTTAAAAATCATACATTTAAATCATATTAGATCATAATAAAAGATGAAATTAGATCATAAATTAAAGGGAAGACCTTGCTTGTGGCAGGAAATAGTTTTTCCTTTTCCTTGTGTGCACATTTTATTGAGTCAATAGGTGACCGATCCTGCTTCCCAGGGAGAGTGGCAAAGGAATTCAATGCTCCTGGAGGGGTCTGGGGACATGAAGAAACAGCACCCTATTTACTTGTGGTCTTTCAGTTGCCAAAGGCATTTATGCAAGAATAAGAAGCATTAAGGATCATATTCTTGCCAAGTGAGCAGTCATTGTTTGCCTTTCCTACTGAATCATTCTACATTTTCAACTGAGTAAAATACTGCTAACTCCTCTTCTGCCTAGCACTATTGTCTGATTCAGTTGCAAGATGCTACATTTTTCAAGTCTAGAGCAAACTAGCTGGAGGGTTCCCTGTATGTAAAGTTAATTTGTTTTTTTGGTATGAGCATGTAAAAGTATTTTAATGGCAATAAATGTTTTGTGTTGCGTATTAGTTGGATACACTAATAGTCTAGATAGATGTGGTGGTTCAGTCCTATATGCTAAGGAAATAAATGCATAAAACAAAGGTGTTGGGGAGGAAGATTAGAAAATGAAACCAGAAGCTTGCTGGCCTTCATACATAAATCAAATAAGCAAAGGTCATGAGAAATCTTAATCTTTGTAACAGATCTAGTGAAAACTTGCTGCTAGCTTTTGGAAGTAGTGTAACAACATGATAACAGGACTGGGAATGGGGACACCTTTAAACATCAGGAGGTTTTAACTGGCATCGTCTGGGCTCTCTTCTGGCTCTCTTCTGGGAGGCTGCACAGTTATTATCCTGCTCTATCTGCTCTAACGCTGAACAAAGGAGATGGTGTGTTTTTTCAGGTCACAAGGGGATGATATCATTATCTGTTCACTCCTTGCTCCAACTTTCCAAAAGGGCAAAAGACAGCAGAGAACACACTCATGAGTCCTTTAATCGAGATAATCAGTGTCATCTTTAATGAAAGTCCTCTGCCTCCCCTCTCCTATTCAAAACAAAGAACCGTCTGCCTAATACAGAGCAAGTAATTGCTGCTCAGAGCCAGAGTACCATCTTACAACCTATCTCTCTTTCCTAGCCATTTCCTAGCGAGATTACCAGTCGGTAATTCCAGTGCCTTTTGCTAGCCACCAGATCACCATCAAGGGGATTGTCCCAGGACATCCTTTGTGGGCATGTTGTTCCACAAAGACCACCCAAAGAGTGTCCCCATGGGTCCTTACTGTGCTATTTATACATGAAGATGTCCAGTGCTGGTTTTTGGCTTCTAAAAGAAAGCAGAAAGGAATGCAAACAGGAAGATTTGTTTCTGTCCCTTGTGTTACCCAGCATCTGTACGAGGCTCCTTGGAGGACTTGTGAGCAGTGCAAGGAGCAGCCGCATCCCTGATTCCCTCCGTGTTTCTCCCTGCCTCCCATGTGAAATCAATGGTGGGGCTGTGTTTCTTCCACCCACACCTCTGTGTCCTTTGGGACACACGTGTGTGCAAGCTGGAGAAATGGATCCACAGGAGGACAGTGCACACAGGGGGAATGGAGCCTGGTGTCCCAAGGCTCCTTGGGCAGATGCCCATGGGTGAGCTTCACCAGTCCCTTGTTGGATCATTGAGCAACTCCCTGCTCTCCCCAGAACCATCTGCTTTAAAGAAGATTGTAGATATCTAATTTTTACGTTGCTTTCATCCTCTGCCTCGCTGTATACATTGGGCTGAAATCAGCCAGAAGGGTTTTAAGCTTTTAGGGAAGGAAAGCTGATGTGTCCCTTATTGATGTCTGAAGGGAAAAGGGAGCTCACTGTTGCAACTGTTGTAAAAGAAAATTAAGCCCTCCACTGTTAGGAGTTGTTTACAATAAGAAAAGGACTTTTTAGGATACTTTCTACCTGCAAAGGAAGAGCTGATGGAAGATCAGGACAAAAATCTTAGTTTATCAAGCATAAAAACACTGATTTTCTTTGATGTCTGTTTGTCTCTCTGCTTAAGCACTTTGAAGCCTCTGAAACAGCCAAGGTATTTCACAGCCTGTAGTCACAGAAAGCCAGGAAGAACCAAGAAAACAAAGCTTTTACCTATGGCTGATAAACTCCAAATAAAATCATAGAATCGTAGAATCATTTAAGTTGAGAAAGGCCTCCTGTTCTTCAAGTTTTAGGGCCTCGGTGTTAGGGAGTATGCACCATTAAATTATATTTCACTGTGTCTGGAGAAATAGAGTTGTTGCATCAAGATATGTAGAGAAATATAATACCGGCAACTGGATGGTAAAAGATTTATGATCCTGAGGCTGTGCAAAAGCTCTCTGTTTACTCCATGCCATCTTGGGAGAGTGCTGCAGCCCTGTTTGAAATTCACCTTAGACTGAAGAGGGTGATGACGACTGATGTCTCAGTGATGCTCAAGATTAAATTGCATGTATTACATATAATTTGGCACTCAGAGCATATGCTAATTAGCGAGGTCTCTCCCCTTGACCACTCTGCAGTGTTCTGAAGAAATAAGTTTTATGACAGGTGCCATCAGAGGTGCAAACAGTTGATAGTTTTGGCGCAGCTACCCAGACACCATGCTTCACATCAGCAGGGATTTAGCTCTTACGTGGTGACAACCTACTTAATCCTCACCTCCCAGTTTGCATTACTTTTGGTAAAGGTCATTTTGTCTGTCTCCCCCTTACTATGGAGAGAAGAAAAGATGAAAAACTGCAACTGAGGCTGTCTGCAGAATCTGTCAGGTAGCCCTGCCCTTGGAATAGGAGTGGGTATCACCTGTGGAAAGTGGTTTATACAGAGGACATGAATGGATGAACAATGTGAAACTGCAGGATAATACTTGCGTAATGGTTCAATATGAAAAGTGAGCATTTATAAATGACTCCATGTATCTAGTGAAGCCTTTCCTTGTGTGCTGGCACTCATATTTGGGGACTTGAAGTAACAGAATAAGGTTTTCTTCTCTTTTATATCTAAAATTAGCAGAGAGTGGAGGTGGAGTCTGTGCCTTCTTGATGCAGGGAGTAGTTTTGCTAAAATGAGTGAATCTGTATCAGCAATTTGTCGGAGCAGCAAGGCTGTGTAACAGTGGAGTAGCAGCAGGGCAAAAACTCAGCCAGAGTTGGAAAGACAGAGTATGGCCTGGGACAGCAGTCAGGTTGGGCTCGATGACTCATGAAGCCTCCTCAAGCTGTGTGTCCCTGTCCTGGGTTGACATAGGTGCCTCTGAGAAGGTCATCTGGATCCAGCTACATCACAAATATTGAGTCAATTTTCTCATTATACTTTGAAGTCAGTAATAAACTTCCTAATCTTTTTTTCTGGGACCAGCTTTGGCCTTGACATTGTTCTATTTAGTTTTCAGAAATGCACAAAACCTCTTACCAAGGAAAAAGATGAAGCCAACATCTGGCTTCTCTGGGGACTCTTCCTCTGGGAGGATTAGGCCCCAGGAGAGAGATAAATGGTTGCACAACTTATCTTCTTGTCTTGGAAGAAGCAGGGACCTGATAGCTGTAGTGCACTGAATAAAGCTGCTCTTCAAGGCTGGGAGGTTTAATGTGCCTCGTGGCAGAGGTTCATGCACATTTCAGTCCAAACTACTCTTGCACCCCTGTCCCTCATGGCCCAGCAGCTGGCAGCTGAGCCACCCTGGCTGATCTCCAGCCTTTTTTTGCAGTGCTGGGATAGCACCAGGGAACTTCATCAGGGATCAGGATTGGGCCCATTTTATTTCTGTACACATTTTGTACCTATCCTGTGAATGCTCTGCAGATGTTATGAGCTCATATGTTCACACTTCTATAGGATGTTGCTGTTAACTTACTTCAACAGGGTACAGATGGTTTGTAAAAATCCTTTTAGGCTGAGCAGGACTCTATGTTTCAGGTCTTTATTTTTTTTAAATGTGTAATTAAAACAACACACTACAATTTTTTTCTTCCTAAAATATCACCTGAAGAGTCACTTTAGCTGAAGCTTTATTTTACGATGAGATACAGTTACAGATCACATCCCTATGCAGTGTAAATGAGGCAACGAGGATCTGGACCATAGTCATTTGGAGTCAGAGTTTACAGAGCCTCTGATCTCACCACAAAATATTCAGTTAAAAATAGCCCAATTGACATTGTAAGACCTATAAAGGCTCTGATCTAGCAAGGCACTCACATCTCTGCTTAACTGTAAGCTTCCTATTTAAGACCATAAATTTTCTGCTCACTTCAAAGGAAGTCCTATGCTGAAGCTCTTCCTTGTACCAGGGCCAAAACCATTAATGGTAAAAGTAGAACAGAGCAGATTTCAAATTTGTGAAGAATTTAAAGGCTTTTAACTTCTGCCATATTAAAGAATTTATGTGAATTAATTCCTTAAGTTATTATAGAGAAATTCAATTATTAATGGATCTGCTTTTCATTACGACGAGTAATCAAGGATAAACATCTTCTATTTCAAAGCTTATCTCTTAAAAAGGATAAATTAACTTTAAGACACTTAACTACTTCCAGAACATGAAATGAACATGTATTGTACCATTAGTTAATTTTGGATCACTGAATTAAAGATAGTTCAAAAGGAGTATAATCTCATAAGGATCTCTCTGTTCAGTGTATTGTGATTCATCTCACAAGGTACAATAAATACTGTTTCTTGTTGGGGTAAATACTATTAGTGTTATAAAAACGGTTTCCTTAAATATATTTTATGCATTTGTATGAGTTGTATACCACAAGGGTATGAATATTTTATCTGGCGTTTGCAGATGCACTTTTGCACTCCTGCGTATCTTGTAGGCTGTTGGGATGCTTGATTAAGACTACCAGAAGCTCTGCAATAAAACAACATCTGGAATGTAACCTTTTATCCATCAGAGTATTACGGATGTGAATATACTAGTAAATTAATCCGGGCCATAGGCCTGTCATCATCTCTCCTGTTGAATTACTAGCACACTTCCTGGCATGGTTTTGGCCAGCTACTCCTCTCCAAGCCATGCCTGGACATATGTGGGGTTAGGACTGTCATCATTCATCCCCAAAGGCAGCTGCAACTTGGCCATCCTGTTCATGGGCATAAAAGGGAGTTCAGATGTCTTCATGCAGTATGCCATGCAACTTGTCTCTGACACCAAAGAATAGTCTTGACCTGTTTTATGCAGTGGTTTAGATGTCATTCTGAGGTATAGAAAATAAATTTAAAAATTTAAAACATTAAAAATTTAAAACTTTAAAATACAGGATTAGATTCTACCTACTCCTTTACGTAGTCTTTGTTCACTCAGGGCTCTTATGGCTTTTTACAGCCTATAGTATAACCTTCTAAATTTAATTTACAGCATGGAAGTACAGTGAGTACCTGGGCAAATAACTTAAGTGGCTGCAAAGCATTTTCAGCGGGTTTCTCCAAGGCTTCTTGAGAAGAAACGGCACCAGCAGAAAAGTATCTAATCCTTCCTGAGGATTTTTAGTTTAGACTGAGGGGTTTGTGCTCAAAGAAAGTGTTAAAAATTGTCACCCTCTTGAAGAAAGAGGAACTTTATCAAGTTAACAGAAGTAATATGGTTACAGGAGAAATTAGAAGGCAGAACATTGCATAGAATAATGTTGGGATGCTTCCATGGAAAGACTTCAGCAGTTGTGTGACACACAGAAGGAGACCACAGACTACCACAATACTCTAAGGGTCCCATTCTGTCTTTCTTACTGTTGCTGACAGTTTGCTATCTATGTTGCCATGAAAACCAGTGGGATTTTCCTCAAAACCTCTAGCTGGGAGTTAGAGATAACTGTATAGAGCCAGGCCTAAAACAAGGTTGAGATGCTGGGAACTTAGGACTGTATGGATATTGTCTTCTTAGCGCAGAATAAATCTGGGCACCTTTTCTTGCCATGCCAAGTATCTGCACTGAAATGTTGGCCACAGATGGGTGGATAGAAAGGTTGCATAAGGATAATCATATACAGAAAATGAGCTTCGTTTGCTCCCCACTTATACCTTGCATTATCTATTTTGTATCAAAACAAAGGCAATGGGTTTCTGTGTATAATTCAGCTACAGCATGTAGGCTTTTTACAAGCAATTCTCTACCACTAAGTTTCCTCTTACTCTTCCAGACAGCACTTGGGGATTGACAACATTGGTTTAAAAAGAAAAGAAAAAAAAAGCAGCTCAGCATACCCTGATGCACTCCTCCTGTTTTAGTCTGACCTTTGCCAGCACCAGAGCTTCCAGGTTTCAACACAAAGAAGCTGAAGGCAAAGCTTTGCTGCCCTTAGACAGACCCCTCATGTTTGCTGGGCTGCCAGGGCTGCCTGTTTCCTCGGGAATTTGCTCGTAGGTGTCAAAAGCTGCAACACTTCACTGAAACGTGTCTGCCATTGAGATCACCCTGGCAGCATGAAAGCAAGATGCATTTTGATCTTTGAAACCATTTGATCCATTTCATAAATCTATAGTAAGAAGCCAGGTCTGGCAGATTTTCTCACTGTGGTCACCTCAGGCAAGACAACAGAGAATAAGTGGGCAATGGTAGTGGATTCTGTTGTGGAATCCATCATGGCATTGAACAGCCTTCCTCTAGGTTAAAAAGCTGATGGTTTGAGAGGGATTTTTCATTCCTTGATTAGCTTTTATCCACAAAACAAATAACGTGTCTATCCCACATAAAGTACAAAGCTATTTTGATTGGGCTGTTCCTCAGTTAAAGAATTCCTGTTGGGAAAGGATCAATTTTAATTTGTTGATAGGTGGGATTTCTCTTATCACTGCATTTTGCCATACAGAGATGTAAAGATAGAAGTTAGCTAATGCCTTAAGAATTGCACCTCACTGCTAAGGACTAATAACTCTTAAGAACTGGATTGTCTCAGGTACACATTAAATCACGTTATCTGCTAGTAAATTAATCTTACATTTTTTCCCTTTTTTTTTCTTTTTTTTTTTTTCCCTTTTTCTTTTTCCTCACAGTTCTGAAGGATACAATCTTCCACTTTCTTGGGTTTGATCAGTAAAGGATAAATCTGATCACTGGCTGACTTGTTATCTCTTCGTTGTGATGGGAAAATGCTCATCTAAAATAAGCCCTCTGTTATGCTGCTAACACTGCCTTTGAATCCAAGATCTGTGGTGATTTTTAAAAGGCAAACCCCAAGATGTCGGAACCCGACCCCTCATCTGGATTTGTAGGAAACATGGAAAATGGGACTTTTCTGGAGTTATACCCCACATCCCTTTCAACTTCCGTGGATTCATCACCAGGCCGTTTATCTAATGTCTATGTCTATGTTTCTATATTCCTTAGTCTCCTAGCATTTCTCCTTTTGTTATTGATCATTGCACTTCAGAGGCTGAAAAATATAATTTCTTCCAGTTCCTCTTACCCAGAATATAACAGTGAAGCTGGAAGTTCTTTCACTAATTTAGAAGTCTGTAGTATTTCTTCCCAGCGGTCTGCTCTTTCAAACCTTTCTTCCTGAAACTAAATGAAGGGGAATATGTGGGGAACGGGAAAGCTTTGTCTAGTTTCTCGGGGAGGTAGTGCATGCAACATTTGCCTTAGAAGACTATGATGAAGAGGTGGCTTTTAAAGTTTCCTTATTTTTCTTTCTTTCCTTTTCTAGTCTTCATTTTCCCTTTTACTAATGTTGCTTTTCATTTTGGATAATGACTCTTAATCATTGTTTCATGCCTGTAACTGTGATGCTGTCTTTTTCTCACACATACACAGTGTTCATTAGTATTCCTGACAAATTGTAATATGGTTCTAACCAGATGTGTCATTTTTCTGCTCTAGTTGTGACTCCTTTCCTTGTTTTATATCAGTAATACTCTGAATGTTGGTTTTTTTTGTTTGTTTGTTTTTCATTTTTAATTAAATAAGAATTTCTGGATTAAATCCCCATTGCAAAAGTATCAAAAATTAGCTTTAATTATAAATATAGTCCTTGGGACAATTTAAAGTTGTTGCTATTGTTTCTTTTGTAATTTCCTTGTTGTTTTTTTTTCAGTATTTATTGGTGTTTATGAAACACAACTAAAATCCTTTTCCTGAAGAATGTTACTTTGGTTTATTTGTACTTAAATCTTTCTGTATAAAGTGTCTGTGTTTCAGTTTTTGAATTGCTGAAATCTTTGGTTAATTTAGTAAAGCGACTACAATAACTGCTCACTGCGGAATGTGTAAAGATATTTTTGGACCACAACTGCATATAATTTGCCTAATGACTTGTTCCTCTGGGGGGCAGCTTTTGCTGCTGAATCACAAATATTGCACAACTCCTTTCCATCCTTTGCTGATCACACAGCCTATTCGTGACGGGTACCAGTACAAACTGATGCTTTCTTTTAGATCCGCTTACTGTGACCATCGCTGCTAGCTGAATAGCACCTGTGACTGTCCTTTCTTTAGGCACAGGATGTTCGTACCGATTTATGCAGAGCCAGCAGGGACAGATATTACTTGTGTGGTGAAGGCTTACTGGGACAGATTTTGCCTTGTAATTTCATGAAGGCACACTGGTGTGGACACAGGGATGTGCGTAGTTGCCATCCAGACCTGTGCTTTGACACTAAGGAGGTGTGTAATAGATAACTAGCAGTATTGTGCACAGGATCCTGTGTTCGGCTTTGAATTAAATCAATCCAAATGATCAAAAAAAAAAAAAATAAAAAAAAAAGAAAGACTTGAAATGCCAAAAGTGATCTATGAGGATTGCAGCTCTATAGTATGCCATGTTATTTCTTGTAGTCCTTGTTGCAACACATGAGCATAGCCCAGTCCTGCCTCAAGCCCCTGCATATTCACCTATAATGGCAGTGTCCAAGTCAGGAGACAAGAGGAAGGGTGTGGAAATGTCCCTGCTGTATCTGTTCCTGGTGCAAGAACACATCTAGCTCTGGGTCATTAACAAGGCACGTTCTGTCATTAACTATGCAGTCTTTGAAAGAGGAAATTGGAAACTCCAGTGTGAATATAATCATTAAAAACACAGCTGCTCCATGCCAAACAACATACAGATGATGTTGGAGTTGCTGTTTTCCATTTTTCAAAGTGAACCTACAGCATGGTAAGTGGTAATCAATTATGGTGTTGATTAGCACCTTACAAAGGTCAAAGAACTTGCTGACTAGCAGAGGAATTAAGCCCAAAGAATTTCTGAGCCAAACTGTTCTTATGAATATATTTAGTCTCTTGAATATTTTATTCATCTGGCCAAATATTCCTTGTAAGTCGCTTTTCACTGTAATTGATGGGGAAAAGAGTTTACTATTGGAAAGTCATTGGGAAAGATTTTTCGTTTCTAAAAGCTGTTCAAAATCCCAAATGTGTAATAGAATGTATTTTTGTGTTGACTTGTAGATAAAAATAAATGAACTTTAAATCAAGACAGAGCAGCCATTCCACTATATTCTCTTACCTACAAAGTCGTAAACTTGTTGCTTCCTTTGCTGCAAATGCAGGAATTTAATCAAACCCAGAGATGAGACCACAGTCTGACAGAGTTATTTATTACCAGTGATATGTTTCTTTTTACTAGTTTATGTTTATGGATGTACAGACATTTCATATTAAATACAGACTGTTGAACATCCATTGGCTTTGTTCAATGAACTATTATCAAACGCCACAAGAGCAAAAATTATTTTTTCAGTTTGCACAAAGTAGAAGAGGTGACTGAAAACACACATTTGATTTTGCTTTGTAGTTTATTAGATGCTATTAGCTTTTTTTTTCCACTCTGCAGTGACATATGGGACTATATAGAGTCATCATGTTTTCAGCTGAGTTGCACCTGTTCTTCTCAGGACAGATTTGAGTAAAAACAAGTTGGATCCAACAGAACAGCATCAGGAGAAGCCACAGGCAAAAAGCACCATGCCATTTTGAGGATTGCTAAGCACTTGGCCTTCAAGAAAAAAAAAAAAAAAAAAAAAAAGGAAAGGTTAAAAAAAAGAGAACCTGACCTTGAGTTCACTTGAGCTAGTTGCAGGGATTTTCCATGATGGTAAATTGAAAAACAGATTAGATTATTCATTTTTATCAAAAGTCTGTGTTTTCTCTGTCTCCTTCTTTCTGTCACTGACACACCACCACGCTTGGAGGAGTGGGCAGGGAGGAATCTCATGAAGTTCAGCAAAAGAAAACGTGAAATTTTGCTTAGGGGAGGAACAACCCCATGCACCAGTACGTGCTGGGGGCTGACCAGGTGGAAAACAGCCCTTCAGAGAAGGATCTGCTGGTTCTGGTGGACCCCAAATTGGCCATGGGCCATCAATGCAATGTTGGTGCATAGGAGGCTTCATTATGAGGAGCACTCTGAGATCTACCTGGAGTGCTGGGTGCAGTTTTGTACTTCCCAGTATAAGAGGGATGGGGTGAAAATCCACCGAAGGGCCATGAGGCTGATTAAAGGATTGGAGCACCTCCTACTTCAGGAGGCTGAGAGAGCCAGGGCTGTTTACCTGAAGAGGAGATGGCCCCAGTTAGCTCTTATCCACATGTTTAAGTATGGTCCTGGGTAGCCTACTGCAGCTGACCCTGCTTTGAGCAGGGGGGTCTCTAGTGGTCCCTAGAAGTCCCCCACCCATGCTGTGATTCTGTCACTGTCAGTGCAAAAACCTCAGTGGCTTCTATCTCCCTGCCTCCTCTGGTGTGTTTTCCCATCTCAGGAGCTGAGTCTTTACTGGGGATGATTAGTTCAATACTTTGTAATTAAAGGGTTGTTCTGCTCTTCCTCCTGCCTGCAGTCATACACTTTTCCATCTTTTCCACTGCCTTTTTGTGGAGAGGGCTCACAGGCAATTTTTGCCCTTGGCCTTTTTGGTTTTGTTTTGCTGTTATGGTGGTTTTTGTTTTGGTTTGGTTTGGTTTTTACTAAGCTCTCTGATTGTGACTGTGCTATTAGCTCTCAGCTAAGAGACTGCATGGCTTCAGATAGTTGCAATGCATACCTGGAAATTTGTAGAAAGAAAAATAACAGTAAAGCATGGATAAGGAATGAGTTTCTCAATCACACAGGGGAAAAAAAAAAATCCTTTAGTTTGACATAGACGTTCTGTTTGGGCATATTTAATCCAAAAGTACCTGTTGAAGCCCATGGTAGCCTCTGTTTCTAAGATTAGACTTTCTTACACTGCTGGCCACCCTGATCCCACAGCCAGGTTAACCCATGACATTTACCTTTCCTCACTTTTAACAGATTTTTCTGATCCTCTTCTTGATATAGTGTCACACACTTCACTTAGCAGCTCTGCAGCTGTGTAGAGAGTTTATTCCATTGAATAAATTTTCTCAGCCCTTCTGTGTGTGCCAGCTCACCTGAAAGAATTTTCTCTGTAAGCTTAAATTCTTGCCTGTTTTTTCCTACCTTTTGACTTGGGAATGACTCTTACTCTCCTTCCATGCAGTTTGTTTGCCCTCTTCTTTTGCTATCTGGCCCTGTGGGACTCTGGTGAGGCTGAATCCCCAAGGAGCATCATTGTGTTCTGCTGTACTTGAGCTTTTTTCCTTTAGTCTCCTTTTCAGTGAGATTGCTGGGAAACACATCTGCATGGGAAGGTCCCATACACCTTCCATTCTCCTTGATGGGACTGTTTTTGCTGCATGTCTCACAGTTATCTGAGGAAAGAGTGTGAACTGCAGCCCAGCTGCTTCCCAAGCTGAATGGCTTTTTCATGTCTGCAGCCCCTCACAAGCTCCCAAGGACAACGGCCCCACGCTGTGGCTACAGCAGAGGATTACATGCCCCAAATTCAGGGTGCAACAGCAGCCTGAAGATGTTCCTTTTTTATTTTTTTTTTCCTGTCTTGAGTCAAGGCTCAGTGGTTACTGATGAGTGAGAAATAAGTGCAAAGCATTCTTACTGTATTGGAGGACTTCAGACTTTTTTTTTTTTGGTTTGTTTGTTTCCCGGAAAAGTCTTTTCTATGCCAGGCTGATGAAATGGATTAAATCCTTACTGGTCCCCTTTTCCCAAATGGCTTTCTCAGGATTCAGAGGACGGAAGCAAACACAGAGACTTGCAGATGATATTAAACCAGGACAAGCTTCAAACACCTGCCAAGACAGAGGAATAATACCCAGGCACCTAGTGAGAACAGAAGCTTGGCAGGAAGCAGAATGAGATGCAGCCTGAAAAACATGCAAACTAATGTTTGAGGTAGAAATAAAGTGGAAAAGAACCATTCAGGGGGTGGGAAAGACATGGGCAGCAGTGACAGAAAAGCATATTCTGATGAGAGAGGGCAGGGAATTGGGCACAAATGAGTGATATTGCAGCAAAAAGTTAAGTAGGATTACCATCCCCCAGGAGGCACAAGGTCCATTTTCCTCCCATGCTCAGTGTGGCTGCCACAGGGGGACATGGGGACAGGCAATGTGTGGTGGGCACCAAGGTCAGTACCTGGTCAGGTTGCTTCACTGGCCCATGGTCACACACCTCACAGCACCTCCCTGGGCAACAGCTTTTCTGCTGCCATCACTCTCTCACCTCTGGCAAATTATTTTATGTAAAAGGGCATGTAAGTGTCCTACTTCTTCCCATGCATTAGAGCTTTTTTTTTGTGTGTGTGTCTAAAAGCTCCAAAGAATTAAAAGCTCTTTGAAGGGCTATGAAGATGATGGAGGGACTGGAGCACCTCTCCTGTGAGCAGAGGCTGAGAAAGCTGGGACTGTTCAGTCTGAAGAAGAGGAGGCTCAGGGGGATCAGTGTTTATAAATACCTGAAGTGAAGGAAAGAAGACGATGGAATAAGACTGTTCTCTGTGGTGCCCAGTGCCAGGTCAAGAGGCATTGGACACAAACTGGAACACGAGGTTCCATCTGAACATCAGGAAGCACTCCTTTATTGGATGGGTGATGGAACACTGGCACAGGTTGCCCAAGAGATTGAGTCTCCCTCCTTGGAGATCTTCAAAGGCCATCTAGACGTGCTCCTTGGGCAACCTGCTCTAGGTGTCCCTGCTAGAGCAGGGTTTGGACCAGACAAGCTCCAGAGGTCCCTGCCAACCTCAACCATTCTGTGATTCTCTTTATTTTTCAACAAACCATGCTTAATTTGGAATGTCACCAAAGGCCTTTCTCATTCCGTAACACTGCATCTCCACACAGCCTGGGCTGCTAGGCAGGCACCAGTCACAGACCACTGGAGCAGCCTGGCAGGAGCACCTCACGTCACCCCTGTAACATAGCCCATGAGTCTGCATCCCATGCTCACACTGAGACACTGAGGAGACAGAAGGACAGCTGTGGCTTGCATGTTTGCCAACTCCCCGCACCCTGGGGTGCACAGCTTCCTGAAAGGTGGCTGGGGCTGGCAGTGTCACCAGCAGGTGCCTCAGCATCTGGAGGTACAAGCAGTGCAGATCCTGAATTGGTGTTGCCAGCCCTACCACCTGCTGATTCCCCAGTTCTTACATTGCATAGCTGCAAGCTTCAACACATGTGGAACTAGCAACTCTTTAGGAACAGTTGTTTGCATGTCCACAGAGGGCTTTTTTGTGCAAAATACCTTTATCTTCAGAGTAATTTTTCATGTCATTGGAACACTGTTGGAAAACCCAAAGGTCTGTACCTGGTCTCTATGGTAAAAAGACTGGAGAATGAGTAACATATAAAGTTTCAGTAATTTCTGTAAAATAAAAGCTGCTTCATTGCTTTCAATTTTCATTCACGTTTTGAGAGGTTTTATTTGGAAAATAACTCTTCAGTAAGCATCTCATGTCTCTGCAGGGATAATTTTCCTTCATTATCTCTTCTGTATTTGAAAAATTTTCAAATGCACTTTTCCAGATTATATCCACATGTTATATTCATGAAGAAACGGCCAGATGCACAATTTCAGCCCTGAGTATAAAAACAAGATCCCTGTGGGGAAAACAGGTAAGACCAAAGTCTGACCTCACGGTGTTGTTCTGGAGACACACAACCATTGACAAGAGAAACACCTCATCCTCTGATGTTTCTTATAATTGCACCTGTAACACACATCTATTAGACCAGCTGCAGTCTTCAGGTGTTTTTCTGCCCCTGCTGGCATGTGGAGTCAAATGTTACAGACTAAAATGTTACTGGCATCCCATCCCCTCTTGAATCTCTGTTTGGTTTTGTTGGGCTTGTTTGTTTGCTTTTCCATCTAGGAGGCAGAACTTTATTTTGTTTTCCATATCATAAAGACTGTTAAAGGTAAATAAGAATATTAATTCACTGATGCACACTTCAGTTGTTTCCTGTATCATGTGTATGTGTTCGCAAGGGACTTGGCAGCTGCTTGTAACATCACCAATCCCACCCCCCAGAATAACCTCCAGGAAAATGTATTGGTAAACTCTCCATTGTATTAGAGAACGTTGTAACTCATGTTGAAGTTAAAGAAGATTGGACTGACAG